GGTCTGCTGGGGTAATAATATAGTGTAAAGCGCATAGAGCCTGCTGTTGAGCGGGGATATGCGCTATACAAATGCTATCTATTATTATTATTAACAGAGTGAAGAAAAGAAACAAATTAATACACGGAGGACCTACCAATGACACCCTCCACGTACACCCCCTCAACGACTCCGTGTCTAATTATTGTTGTCACCTGGAACGTTCTGTTAGCGTGATAGGAATAAGAGAGATCAATTTACACTCTATGATGAAGCTAGTATGCACGGTTCGAGCAACCAAAAATAAAGTGTGTGCTTCGCTTGTCATTTTCCTGATGGCCCTAGTGTCTTCTTTTTTTTTTTTAGCAGATTCTTCATCATGAGCCAGGTCTGAAATAGACGTTTGCAATCTTGGTTCGTCTCTCCTTGTTGAAGTTTTTCAAAAATATTGAGTGCATGTGTGTGTATGTGTCTGTGTCTGTGTGTGTGTGCGCGCGAGCGCGCGCGCGTGTGTGTGTGTGTATGTGTGTGTATGTCTGTGCTTTGCATGTGTGTGTGTGTGTGTGTGTGTGTGTGTGTGTGTGTGTGTGTGTGTGTGTGTGTGTGTGCTGGAGCTTGCTTGTTTGCGGTAACTTTTCATAGAGCTCAACATTAAAAACAGGGAAATGTTTGACCCATTAATTATAAGAAGCTAGCGGGATGGCACTTGCAATACAAATATGTCATACAAGAATCGACAGTAAAAGGTGTCATGTTTTTACTGGAGTGTAGCATTCAAAGGAAAGAAGGAGGTGAGATAAGGACTGTAAATTAAATGTTTGATGAGAAATAAGGAGCAAATCACACAAGAACACCCACCAACCACCCACTGTAAACGTTTGATGGGATAGAAGGAGCAAACCCCACCAGAGCACCCACCAACCACCCACTATAAATGTTTGATGGGAAAGAAGGAGTAAATCGCACCGGAGCGTCCGACAACAACCCACATGCTGTTCCTCACAACATTTCCTTTAATTGACGTAAAGAACACAAGAAACTGTACAAGGTGTTGAGAAGTTTGTAACGTGCTCGCCTCGCTCGCGCTAGATTTACTGTATCATTAAAATGGTGTTTTGGGAGGGATTTTTCGTAAGAGTTTTACGGCACTTGCAACACAGTAAGATCACGTAAGTGCCGAAGATTGGGGGTGTTACAAGGTAGTAACAAACACAAAAAGAAGGAGGGGAGGTAAAGATGATAGATGTTTGACAGGAAAAAAGGAGCAAACCACACCAGAGCACCCGCCAACCATCCGCTAAAATGGTGTACATGTATCAGTTTTCAGTTTTCAACCTAAGTATGGCCATCTCTGTCTCTGCTACCTTGTGCTCCCAAAGGTATAGCACTGACCTTAGAAAGGTCAAAGAGATAACGCCCACGTCAAAGTTCAAAGACGTGGAGATATAATGTACAGTGGGGTGCGTTATGTATCGTCGTGTGTATTATGAATGTGGCAGATAAGTTGTTCGTGGTATGTGTGAAGTGGAGGCATAGAATCTAGATTCTAGATGTACTGTTCGGGATGTTATAAGCTACACTTACAATACATAGCGTGTACGTCTGTGTGTTTGCTTGTGTGTGTGTGTGTGTGTGTGTGTGTGTGTGTGTGTGTGTGTGTTTGCTTGTGTGTGTTTGCTTGTGTGTGTGTGTGTGTGTGAATGTGTGTGTGTGTATGTGTGTGCGTGTGGCTGCGAGAGAGAGGGAAGGGGCAGAAGAGAGAGAGAGAGAGAGAGAGAGAGAGAGAGAGAGAGAGAGGGGGGGAGGGTGAGTGCGTGCGTGCGTGCGCGAATGCGTGTTTGCCCGCTTACATTATGTGTACACCCAGGCTGAGAGAGTTACAACATCCCAGCAGAAAGTCCAAGAAAGAGAATATGCTCCATTGAAATTCTCCCAAAACCAGAATCAAACTCAAGTCTCCTGCGCGATATGACAAAGTACGACGTACCTAACCGCTACACCACAGCCGTTAGATAAAACAGACTTGTCCATGCAGGAAAGTCACATGATTACCTTCAATCATCCAGTGCCTGTCCAGAGAAAAAAATCTGACCAGTACACCACAAACAGCTGGACCACAATTCTACGATCCATTTGTTTTGTTTTGTTTTTGTAAGGTTTTACGGTACTCACAACTGCGTAAGATCATATGAGCTCCAAGGGGTAGATAACAAAGAAGTCCAAACGGGGAGTCAGACTTACTCTGCTCACCTCTCTAGCCTCAACAGCACAAAGTCTGCTTCGACTATCAAGGCACCTCGGAAATAGCAGTTCACGTGAGAGTGACAAACATACAAAAGAAGTCGAAAAAATTGACAATAGAAAAAATGATGATAGTAAGGATGAGGAAAGAAAAAGCAGCAGTTACCCTTAGGCTGTTCTGGCACAATATGAGCATGACATTGATAAATCAGCCCATTTACAATTCTACCATTCATAAGAATATATGTCAATATCCCCTCTTTGTGAATGGCCTAAAGAAGGCAGAAGGAGACATATACGACAGATGTTTTACAGAAGGAGGGAGCAAGTCACACCAGAACACCCTCCTAACACCCACACCACAGATGGCCAGCAAGCAGTTCTGGGAGTCACTAGAAAAGAAAAAAAAAACAGATACAAAACCGCAGAAAAAGAACATGATACGAAGGTGGTTGGCGGGTGCTCTGGTGTGGTTTGCTTCTTCTTTCCTATCAAACATCTATCGTCCTTATCTCTCCTCCTCCTTTTTTGAGTTTGTTACTCTCTACTCTCTTGTAACACCTCTAATCTTGAGCACTTATATGACCTAATTGTGTTGCAAGTGCCGTAAAACACTAAAACTAAAAAAGAACAAGACACAACTCACAGTGGAAGTTTTGGTTTCTTTAATAGTCGGTCATCAATCCTGCAGACATTCTTTCACATAGGCAAAGCTTCCTACGAAAAAAAATGTCCTCCGCAATACCAATGACAATGAAATGCAATGAAGATTGAAAAGATGGAAAAATAAAAATAAGACCTAATTCTTTTTTAGTAGCAAGAAACCGTTAACACAGGTTTTTTTATTTCCAGAAAGATTGTTCAAATAAAAAAAAAGTTAGAAAAATGGCAATGAAACAGGCGGTGATGATGAATGATGAACTAATAAATGCAAATTACTTTCATAAAGTGAACTGTACGTGTGGGCTATTCCCCATGGAGAGCGAGATCAATTCACAGAGTAGTTCTGTTTTAGTTCCAACACTGCTCAGAGAAACTCACTCATGGAAAAAAGTCAAAGCAAAACAGCACATCTTATGAATATAATCTCACCATTGCAAAATAAAAAAGCCACTCCTGTATTCACCCAATAAAACAGGGTTTCACAAAGCTGCTCTCTTCTTTTTGCAACAGAAAAGATATGATAACATGAACGAATACTCGAAGAAAGAACGCCAACTATGTAAAATAATGCTTATCTTTATATCAATTCTGCTTACACGTTGGTGTATAATTATATTATAACGGTGACTTTCACCCACAATGGCCACATAAGTCTTTTCACCCAGCTACTTATGCTCCAAACCAATAGTGTATTCTAGAGTGATGACATTGACAAGTCGATGTTTAAACACACTGGTTTTCATCCACTTATTGCTACAAGACATGCTGCATTACTGACAAAGCTACAAAACACACTTGGTCCAGTTCAAACAAAACAAGGGGTGCATTAATTATTTTGAATCTAATCTACAGCGACACAAAGTAGGTAACAGTTCTCTTTACAAACTTTGTAAATTATATAACTGGTGTTCAGCTTAAGGTATAGATGCTTAGTGTTGATTACAACTATGATGGATGTGGGTGCAGGAATACCGAGCGTAGAAATGCTCGCATGCTTGCTGATCCTGACTAGTATACGACAACAGAAGAGGAACAAAAGACACAGACATCTCGAAGCTCCAAAGGTCACGCAGAAATGAGAACAGTCGGTAAAGATTACTGTCACATTAAATGTATCAAACTGTAAGTCAGGGGTACAACATTGATCTGAGCACATGGAAGAACTTTCTAGAAAATATCAAACTTTTCTGTTAAGCTTAGTCATCACACATTGTCAGTTGGAACCAAGATGGCTTCCATGGCATGGAAAATTTTGGCCCCATTAGATAAAGCACGCATCATTCATTGATAAACTGAGCGCAGCCTCACGAAGACTCTGGATTGTCCAACAAAAGAATAAAATAAAAAGCTGATTGGCTGATCCCTTGCAAACGCATTTAATATCAGCTTTGCAAAATACAAAATAACCAAATGCATGTATCTGCAGTACAGTTTGGTTTCTTCTAGTGTGACAGACAAACAGCACAAAAAAACAAAATAAAGAACACGAGCACCACACATATCTTTCATGCATACATACATAGAGTTATAAGAGGCACTTAATGCACTTAGGATTAGAAAATACCCTCCCCCCCCTCAAACAAAAACCATAAACGTCTTAATCTTAGTTTTTTGGGGGCATGAATCACAACCAATCGAATACCCGTTTATGGAAACAGTTTTTGCTTGCATTCCAATACTAAAAGATCAAAAAGAAAATAAAGATGAATTCATTTTTTTAAGTTTTCCCCCCCCAAAAAAAGTCGAGTTAGAAAACCCTTTTAAGAAATTGAGTTTTTTTTAAAGAAAAAGAAAGAACTTCCTGTCAAACCACAAATCTCTTGCACTGCGCAAAACAACTGTGCTCTCTCATCCCTCCTCCATCCATTCATCCATCTTCTCTTCTCTCTCTCACTCCGCACCACCACCATCACTAGTCGTCATCGTCCACCATGACCACCATCATCCTCGTCTCCATGAGCTCACAGCTCACAGCTCAGTGCTTGTGGACGTCTGGGTGTTTACAGACCAGCACGGGGATGTGTGAGTGGTGCATCACGTAGTCCGACACACTGCCCAGCAGGGTGCGTCTGATGGTGCCCATACCGCGCGAGCCCAGCACGATCAGGTTGGCCTTCTCCTCCACGGAGACCTTGACCACCACCTCTCCGGGGTTACCGCCCACGCTCTTCACCTTGCCGCCGATCTGGGGGGAGGAAGGGGATTAAGATTGGATTATTGTAAATCATTATAAATCATTGATGGTTGTAAATGAGTGTTTGAAAATGACTGATTGTAAATATTTCCCCGTTCAGCTGGGGGAATGGTCGGTTTGAGAAAAATTTGAGTGTTTCATCAGAGTGGGTTTGATAAAAAGTTGTAGCTAATCAGATCAGGTACCACACACTCCAGGCAATTAGATGAGTGTACCAAACACTCCAACCAATATGACAACTGTATCAAACACTCCAACCAATCAGACAACCGTATCAAACACTCCAACCAATCAGACAACCGTATCAAACACTCCAACCAATCAGACAACTGTATCAAACACTCCAACCAATCAGATAACTGTATCAAACACTCCAACCAATCAGACAACTGTATCAAACACTCTAGCCAATCAGACAACTGTAACAAACACTCTAGCCAATCAGACAACTGTAACAAACACTCCAGGAAATCAGACAACTGTATCAAACACTCCAGCCAATCAGACAACTGTATCAAACACTCCAGCCAATCAGACAACTGTATCAAACAGTCCAGCCAATCAGACAACTGTACCAAACAGTCCAGCCAATCAGAGACGTGCCCTTACCCCGGCGGCCTTGAGCTTCTGGCCCAGCTGCTCCAGGAATCCCTTGATCCTCTTCTCCTCGTCGTGGAGCAGGTCGGTGACCACACTGACGTCAGTCATCACCATGGCTACACACAGGGGGGAGACAGAGGTGGACAAAAGTTAGAATTTATAAGAATAATGATAGTAATGACGATACTACTACTACTACTACTACTACTACTACTACTACTACTAAGAGAGGGAGAGAGAGAAAGGGGGAGAAAGAGAGAGCGAGAGA